CAGTTTCGTGGGTTATAAGCGGTTGTGTGAGTGGTCTACCATCAATAGCCTCTACAGCTAGCGGCGTAGGTCTCTCCCTGACCGGTATCTCATTACCCCTAATAAACTGGACATCAATAAAATTTCCAGCAGCACCTGAGTCCATTAGGGCACTGCAAGAAAACTTCTTGTTATCAAGGGAAATAGATACCTCAAGGAGGAATCTACTTTTGTTTTTGTTAGAGGACAACTCCATCACACCTAAGATCTGTCCCCTTAAGGTTCTTAGGTGCGGAAGTTTTCCGGACGCAGTGGACAATTAGTTATCATATGTCCCTTTCTACCGCAATATAGGCATAACCCCTCCCTTCTCCTATACTGTTTTTCGGCCTCTGACAGTCTAGTGACCCCCAACTGCATAGATTCAGGTTCAGACTGTACAGGGAGGTTAGACAAAACAGGTTTAGAGAATTGAGGTGCTAGGGACATAGCCGTACGTCTGGTCTTGCTTCTGGTGACTTCTCTGAGTCTTAACCTATTATCAATATGCATGACAAACGTAATAAATTCGTTAAGACTCTTAGGTAATTCTTTAGCAGCTATCTCATCTAGTATAGTCTCTGAGAGACCCTTTTTGAATGCTGAGATTAACCCATTGTTAGTCCAGTCTACCTCGGAAGCTAAGGTACGGAATTCAATAGCATAATCCGAGATAGACCGGTTACCTTGTCTGATGTGCATTAGGGCAGTGGAGGCATCATCCTCTCTACCCAATGGCTCAAACGTGAGCTTGAATTCGGCAAGGAATTCCTGGTAATTATGAGCTATGCTCCGATTACTCTCCCACGACGGATTAGCCCAGGCAAGGGCCTTGCCCTTTAATTGATTCATTAGATAACCAATTCTTGCTCTGTCCGTGGGGAATGACCCTGGTGAGGCCTCAAAATGGTTCTCCACCTGATTAAGAAAACCCCTGCATTCCTGGATATTGCCATCAAACTGTTGGGATGGTGATAAGGAGGTACACAGGGTAGAGGTGCTATAGGAGGAGACGCTGCAGGCTGCAGATGCTCCGTTCTAGCGAGAAGCGTACTTAAAGCCTGAGTGAATTGATCCATGCGGTGATCATTCTCCTCTAATTTCCTCTCGCAAGCAGCTATGTGCTGACACAGTTCTACAGGATCTATGGCCATGTCGTAATGTCAGGATTACTGTTTGATCCAGCACGTAGAACTGTACAGCACGGATGACAAATAAGTAACGTATTACCGGTCCTTAGAATGGCCGGATTTAACGTACAAAGAATAGTCAAAAATACTAGCCGAGGTCAGGGAACACAGAAAGGGACACAGCGATGAGGAAAGCCAGGAGTCAGGATACCAGAATATAGAGAAGTCAATAAACAAAGCCAAAGTCAAAAACCAGGTAGAAAACTATAAACAGGAACGCGCTCTCAGACAACCACAAGGGAAACCACGACAGGGCACTGAGCAGGCTGAGAACTGGGCCTAAATACCCCTCCTTTCTTTCTGATAGGCTGTAACCGGCCTTTGACCCCAAAGTCAGTTACCAGGTTTCATTTGCATAATTGCTGCTCAGCATTAACCCTTCTGTGGATTAGGTTGCTGCTCGGCACAACTTTTCCTGTGTGGACAGTAAATGTCATTAACCACTTTTCTATAAGCGGATGAATACACAAGACCAGGTTTCATTTGCACAATTACTGCTCAGCATTAAACCTTCTGTGGATTAGGTTGCTGCTCGGCACAACTTTTCCTGTGTGGACAGTAAATGTCATTAACCACATTTCTATAAGCGGATGAATACGTGACACTCTGCTTGATATAATTACATTACCCATTGTGTAAGGTAATTGAATCACAGGCAGAGGGGAGGATTTTGTGTGGGAGTGTCTGAGTGTATTGTATGTGTTTATTGGTTGTGTTCCAAAACCCTGTGGGTGGTACTAATGTGTATATAAGAACAATAAACCCACAGCTCTGACTGTTCACTGCTTGACCCTCGACACAGAGCTTTGTCTCGTTCTTGGGGGATTTATTGTATGCTGTTCCAGTTTGACTGCTAGGAGTGGAAAACCTATTCGTATGGTTTTTCCTATTCAGCTGTTTACAGCATTCACATGGTTTCCTGTTCGGCGGATTGGTGTTCTGCAGTAGCTGTGCCTGTGTCTCTTGAAGGGAAGATCTACTAAACGGCGGTTTTACCCTTTTATGCTGAGGGTGCCATTACAGAGTTCTTCTAACAATGATATTTTAAAGGGACCCTGTTATCACCAGAACAACTACAGCTTAATGTACTTGTTCTGGTCCCTATAGCCTGTGCCTGTCAGAGAAAAGGCAGTGTTAACATTGCCCCTTAGGGACACCCCCAGTGGCAGTCACTCAGACAGCCACTAGACAACTGAATATATACACTCTTGGGCCACGGGTCAATGCTGGCTTGAATAGTAAAGGGAAGGCAGGAGACTCTGGCTTCTGCCTTCAGCAGGTCCTTTTCAACTCTTGGGAGCCACAGCTATCAGAGCATTGTTGCATTTAACCACAGCAACTCTCGAATGCTGGTGACTCCTGGTCCTCCGTTTACTATTCAAGAAATGGGTGCTTGCACAATGCCACTGGACCACCAGGAAAGGTTTTGTCCCCTCTCCCTGGCCATGGGTAAGAGGCAACAAGATGGGAATAAACTTCAAATAAAAAAACTAAAAACTGTTCACTGCCCGCAGAACTGCTTCTATCCTACCCCACATATTTACACACACACTGCATCCACTATTGACACACTGCAACTGCCACAAACACTCTGGATCAATTTCATAATGCATCCACTTTATACACACTCTGTATCCTCCACACACCACATCCACTTACTCTCGAACGCACACTTACTGCATCCACTATACACACAAACTGCAACCGCTGCACACACACTAAATCCACTATACACACTCACTCTGCATCCAGTACACACCCTCTGCATCCACTATACACACACACAAACACTGTATCCACTACACACACACACACACAGCATCCACTATACACATCATCCACTAAACACATACTGCATCCACTACATTGTCAAACACTCTACACACACTGAATCCACCATACATGCACACACATTGTGGGAGGACTGGGGATGGGATGCAGGGGCACAGGATTTGAGCTTTGTAAGGGGTCCTAAAATTTCTGTTTGCAGCCCTGGCAGTATGTATGAGTGTATTAAGTATAACCACTGTGACGGAACGCTGGCACTCCGACTGAGTACCTCCGCCAATCGATGCTCCTAGCACTTGCCGAGGACTCCAAGCACTCTAACTGACACCATCAGCACTGCAGACCCCACTTCCAGCGATACAGCTGCGCCGGGGTCTCGCCGTTTCCACCCACCCTGGATCCACTACCAGGATCCAGCTCCCAGTGGGTGAACCTCTCCTAAATCCAGAGAGCGTAGCAGGAACAAATCAAGCTATTGCAAGAGCTTACTCTGTAGAGTAAGTGATTATAGCAATCCCCAGAGTGTAGGTATCCCTTCCCCCAAACATGAGCCAAGGCTTCAAGAAAGGTACAAGATGATCTGGTTTTAATGACCACACACTGGCTTTTATGCAAGTCCCCATGCAAGGGGACATCTCACAGGGTGGGACCCAGTATAACCAATCACAGACAATACAAACAAAACACTCCCACAGTGAAATCACAATCCCTCCTCTCTATCCTGGAGATAATTGGGAAGTAATCAAATTTTCTCCCAGGACAGAGGCAAGACTCCATTAACCACATGGTTACAAAAAGACATAAAATTACACAATGTTACAATTACTATATAAAACATATACATGCAACATATCCCCAGATAGCTTAGATCTGAGTGCACATTATTATTGAATGGCGCTCAGATCACATACATACAATTCAATCGCCATGGAGCCAAAGTCTTTTCCATAGTCTTTTGTTACACAAATAGGCTCCATGGCATAGCTATCTGGGATAGCACTACTACCATACTGAAAGTCCAGAACGCCCCAGCAGAAATACACAAATAAACCTTTCTGCAGGGGAAAATACCGCTATCCGCACATGGGCCATAGTCGGAAGGCAGGAGGCTAGCCAGTAGTCCCCTCCAGGCACAAGTGGCGAAGGCCACATTAATATGCAGTGTGTATGAGTGTATTAAGTATAACCATATTAATATGCAGTGTGTATGAGTGTATTAAGTATAACCATATTAATATGTTAATCCCAGTAATATGCATTGTGTATGAGTGTATTACAGTTAATCCCAGTAATATGCATTTTGTATGGGTATATTATAGAGAACATATAATAATATGGAGATTGTAGCCCCATGTAACAAAAACACAACTTAGTGGAAAGGGACCTTGACAGAGCTAAGAGGTGGACTTAGGCAAAGGTATGTAGGGATTGGTGGGTTATGAAGTTGTGGGCTGAGCTATAATTATAGGCAGCCATCTTAGTTTAAAATCACTTTTAATTTGCCCGCCTGGCTGAATGTGTCCCTCCCTTTCTCCCTGGAGTTGGTTTGCTGGGATTTCCCGTTCTCATACAGCAGCGGGATAGTGAGCTGAAAGCTAGACAAATAGCTTCTTCTTTATGCTGGTTTAGAAGCAGTTAGTATGGTATGTTATCCAAGTATACCCCTACCATGGTTGTTTAAGACATTGGCACTTTACTTTACTATTTCCATGTTGGTAACTATTGATACATGTTTATTTTTTTCAGATATGGATCATTGCCTTTTCTAAGTGTGGAGGACACGGACGTGGTATGGTGGGATTGGAGGTTGGGGGCAATGCCTTTATTCAATGTTAATTTATTATGATTATATATTAATAAAAAGACGTGGACAAATTTGATTCACACACCTTTAGTGTCTGTCTTATTGGGATAGGTAAGTGGAGTTTTATTCTGCCAGCAAATATGGCGATGATGCACCTGCCATGTATGAGTGTGTGTTATAACAGCTCTTAGTAATATGCAGTATGTGTGAGTGCATTACATAGAACCATAGTAATATGCACAGTGTATGAGTGTATTACAGAGAACCACAGCAATATGCACTGTGTATGAGTATTACATAGAACCATAGTAATATGCACTGTGTATAAGTGTATTATATAGAACCACAGTAATATGCACTGTGTATGAGTGTATTACAGAGAACCACAGCAATATGCACTGTGTATGAGTGTATTACATAGAACCATAGTAATATGCACGATGTATTAGTGTATTACACATAACCATAGTAATACGCACTGTGTATATGTGTATTACATAGAACCACAGTAATATGCACTGTGTATGAGTGTATTACAGAGAACCACAGCAATATGCACTGTGTATTAGTGTATTACAAAGACCCATAGTAATATGCACTGTGTATAAGTGTATTACATAGAACCATAATCATATGCACTGTGTATTAGTGTATAACATAGAACCATAGTAAAAAAAAATAAAAAAATAGAGAGAATATTCCACTTTCCCTGATCTGACCTAGCAGGGAAGGGGTGGCACAATCAGGTCGCGGGTGGTTAAGAAGGCTGCCTATCCATTGGGTACAGGGTAAAAAAATGAGAGGTATCTCTCTTGGAGCTCTAGCACTTACACAGACTGACCCATACACATACACAGACTGACCCACACACACACACACAGACTGACCCATGCACACACACAGACTGACCCATACATACAGAGACTGACCCCCCCACACACACACAGACTGACCAATACATAGACCCCACACACACACAGACTGACCCACCACAAACAGACTGACCCATACACACACACACTGACCCCCCCCACATGTAGACTGACTCATACACATACACAGACTGTCCCCCCAGACACAGACTGACCCATACACACACACTGACCCCCCACATATAGACTGACCCATACACACACACACAGACTGATCCCACACACACAGACTGAACTCCCCACCCCCACACACAGACTGATTCACCCACAGACTTAACCCCCCACACCCACACAGACTTAGCCCCCCACACACAGACTGACCCACCCCACGCAGACTAAACCCCCATCCCCACACACAGACTGACCAATACATACACCCCCCACACACAGACTGACCCCCCCACACACTGACCCCCCACATGTAGATTGACCCATACACACACAAACTGATCCCCACACACACAAACTGAATCCCCCACCCCCACACACACTGATCCGCACACACACACAGACTGAACCCCCCACACCCATACACACACAGACTGAGCCCCCCCCACACATGCAGACTGACCCACCCCACACAGACTGATCCATACACACAGACTGAACCCCGATCCACACACAGACTAAGCCATACACATCCAGACTGAGCCATACACACACACACACACACACACACACTGACCCCCTCCTCCCCACACACACACACACACACAGGGACTGAACACACACACTGTGCAGAGCTTAGCTTCCTCTTCCTGTCTCTCCTTCGTGCTGCTCTCTATGACCCAGGAGGAAGTCCTCCCAGAACAGTGCCCCCTCTGGCTGCTATTTGGAAAAGGGGGGAACATAGTTCCACGGTGACAGTGCTGCTGAAGTTTGAGACTCCATGGTCCTGACTTCAATTTCAATTGGGGGGCACAAGGAGGGGCACTGCATGATGTAGGGTCCACAGCCTCCTCTGCCCCCCTCCCCCCTAGTGATGCCACTGACCAGCAGTGCTGGCAATAACAACAAGGTATGCAAGAAAACATTAGAATGGGAACATTTTAAGATGGCTGCCCTAAATGTATCAGCCTGCAAATCCCAGATAACTAGCCAATACAAACACACTAACTCTGAATGCCTGCCTCCTAGCTCTGTCAAGGCCCTATTCCACAAAGCTGTTCTGCTCCATGGGCTACAATATGCACTGTGTATGAGTGTATTACAGAGAACTACAGCAATATGCACTGTGTATGGGTTTATTATAGAGAACCACAGCATGAACATATTGAATATGCTGTGTAATTTTGGGCACCTGTTCTAAAGAAGGATATTATGGCACTAGAAAAAGTGCAGAGGCGGGCTACAAAATTAATAAAATGAATGGAACATATCAGCTATGAAGAAAGGTTAACAAATTTAAACCTATTTAGTTCAGAAAAACGTTGCCTGAGAGGGGATATGATAACATACAAATATATGACAGGCGCATAGTCATACCGGGAAACCATTTAAAACCAAATAACCACTAACCCTGCCACTAACTCCCACATTTGGTCCATATCCCTTTTCATTTGTTTAACCAACTACAGCTTTTGCACCTGCCCCAGGTCATTACCTTCTGCATGAAATAAAACAAAATCTGGGGACCCCTACCTCATCCAACCTTCTTAACATCTACCGATACACCTCTCTCAACCCGAAAACCATAAAACAGAAGCCACACCAATGTAACCTGGTCCACCGGAAAGCCCAGCTGATAATTTTGGAACCCAACTGCAGCTCTCTATTGTGCCCACTGTACATACAAATGGCCCACCAACAATGCAACCATCCCTAAGGAAGCAAACACAAAAGCTCAAGTAAATAGCAATACTTCATACTGAGAATGTTTTTGTTTGTTTTAATTTTTTATTTAAAAAAAAAGGGTTTTTTATATTTATTTTTTAAAATGTAGTTTTATTAAATTTTTTGTATGTCCATGCACCATCGTGATCGATGAAGCAAACAGGTGATTAAAGGGATACTCCAGGTACCCAGACCACTTCTGCCCATTGGAGTGGTCTGGGTGCCAACTCCCATTACCCTTAACCTTGCAAGTGTAATTATTGTAGTTTTTATAAACTGCAATAGTTACCTTGCCGGGTTAAGTCCTCCTCTAGTGGCTGCCTATAAGACAGCCACTAGAGGGTTTCTGGGTTCCTAAAACCAGAAAAGTGTTTTAAACGATGCTGGATGTCCTTACACTATGCATGAGGACCTCCAGCGTCGCCGGAATCCCCATAGGAAAGCATTGAATGGTGGTGGGGCGGGACGACTGGAGCAGAACAGAAACCTCTTCCACTGTAGCGGTTACGAATGAACATAGAACAGCAGAGGGAGTGAGGCTAGGGAAAGTATTGTAAGGAAAAGAAGAAAGATGGGAGATCTCTTCCCTGATTGTAGAGATCTTGTCAGTGAAGTGAGTTGCAAAGTCTGAGGCGGTCAAGTTAGTAGGTGGAGGAGGAACAATAGGGCGAAAAAGAGAGTTAAATGTGTGAAATAGTCATTTGGGTTCATGGGAGAGTGTGGTTATGAGGGTATTGAAGTAATTTACTTTTGCAGAGAAAAGTGCAGCATAAATTTATAGTGGAGAAAGTCAGACGCACAGTGAGTGTGAGTGAGTGCATTACAGAGAACCACAGAAATATGCAGTGTCTATGAGTCTATTACAGAGAACCACAGCAATATGTACTGTGTATGAGAGTATTACAGAGAACCATAGTAGTATGCACCAGTAAAATGCACTGTGTATGAGTGTGTTACAGAGAACAATAGTAATATGGAGTACGTATGAGTGCATTACAGAGCACCACAGAATTATGCACTTGACATATGCATAGTGCCTTTCCGGCATATGCGTGATAAACCCAAACCCCCCCCATACATACAAAACACCCCCCTTACCATTCTTTCCCTCAAGCACCTCACATAAGTTGCCATAGTTGTATTTATCGTCCCCCTACTTCTTGCCACTGCCTGACAGTACCTAGTGTGTTGCCATTGTGATCACGGTACCATCTCTGACCATATGACAATCTCATCAGGGATCATCTGCCTCAACCCATCCAAATCTTTCTTCAGCTCCGTGAGCAAAGCCCTCTGCGAAAATAGGTCTCATTCATTCCCCCGGCATGAAACAAAACAATGCTAGGTACTTTAACCACTATAAGCCTTTGGAATAGCTCTAAGCATACACTGTGCCAACTGAAACCCCAAAACCAAATCACTCAATTTGCACCATCGAGCGCGGGAAGCCCAGCTATATGCCTTGACTGCAGCTCTCCTTTGTACTGTGTCCCATCACCCATGCATCCAACCTGCGAAAGAAAAACACGGTATCCACACAGAACAATTATCACCATTTCAACCAGACTTAAATTGGTTGGGCCTTACCTATGACCTGAATGTCACTGATTCCCACCTCCCGGTCTACTTGACCGGTTCACCCCCAACCCAATCGAGCTGCCTCCATTGCAGCCCCAATCTTGAAAGAGTGTGTGCCCAACTGTAACGGACCCAGGCCCACACGCCCCAAGGCCAATCGACAAATGAACTGAACTCTGGACACCAAAGAACCATCGGCTTGCAATAAAAACGAACCTCCTCTCTCAGCACAAAATGCCACTGCACATGCCACTAGACATGCTCATACCTGGCACCAAAAACAGTGTAAGTGCTGCCCTACTGGAATACGTTGGTTTTGGAATGGTGGAGATGTGGTACCACCTGATTCTGCCACAGTTCCACATCTGGACACTGTAACCCACCTCCGCCCCGGCGGTTGCGGCTCACCAACTCAATTATCCTCAAAACCCCGAAAAAGTGCCCAACTAAACACCACAGAAAACAGCACAACCTCGCATTCCGAAAAACAAACTTGAAAATAAGCCTCGCAGAATTTTAAAGGATACTGGCCTGTGGGAATCTCACAATGACCTGCCTGTCCGAAACCCTTTAATAGCCGGACGCACTAGGAAATGCTTGGTTAATTCTTCCCACCCATTAATCATAAATGGTGCCCCTGCCACCAATAACCTAGAAAGAAACCATAACAAAGTGTTGAACCAAGCCGCGGCCGAATCTTGTCCACACGCAAATACCCTGTGGCGTCCCATTTGTACTACCCATGTGGATGACGCGAACGACTGACTGTATAAGACCGCCAAGCAAGAGGTCCCGAGCTGCCACTTTACGCAATGCACTTCTTCCTTCTGCACGCCTGAGGCCGCTGCCACGTGCACTTCCCTGGCACATGACGTGCCCTGCACACAACATTAAACATTGAAGAGAACAAGGCAGCGAAGGAGCTGAATAACAGGGATAGAAGGAGCAGAGAAACCATTAACAGCCTCAACCACTGACCTGTTGTCAGTACAAAGATAACTTTCCTGTCCCTCATTTGTTGTTCTCTCAATGCCAGCGCCACCACTAAAAAATTAAAAGAGTTCCAGAAACACC